GAGAGTAGAGAGAGAGAGTAGAGAGAGAGAGAGAGAGAGAGAGAGAGAGAGAGAGAGAGAGAGAGAGAGAGAGAGAGAGAGAGAGAGAGAGAGAGAGAGAGAGAGAGAGAGAGAGAGAGAGAGAGAGAGAGAGAGAGTGTGATCGAAGAATCAAGAGCACCCTCCCATCGCCGCGTTCGCTCTCCCTCGTTGTCTCTCTCATTCTTTCTCTTTCGCTCTCTCGCTCTTGCTCTCTCTTCCCTTCGCACTCATTTGCCAGTGAGTTTAGCATAAGAACACTTGCCGTCAGGTGAGCGCTGTCGCTCTGCGGCACTTGTTCTATCTTTATCCATGTAACTATTTCTTTCCAATTAAGGCAAATATTTACATGATTTATTTACAACAATTTCATAACAACAAATAATTTTTACAATTAAATTTTTATTTTTAATAGGGTTAGGGTAAGGCTCACAATGCACCATAAAACAGGAGTTTTTGGCACGCGATTTGTTTCAACCAATGGGATTTGGGAGGTATGCAGAATGCAGAAGGTTGCTGAAATGATGTGTGCGCAACTCCGTATCTGCTTATCTGCGCCTAACAAATGTGTCACTACGCACGACTGAAATTTTATGTTCATAACCGTAGCCACACACCTCAGATGAGCCCAGTCGCTCTGCGGCTCTTGTTAGTGTTACACTTGGTGATGTTTACTTTTCTTGTATATGCTTAAAGAAATTAAGGTGACAGCAGGCAATGTAATACATGTTCAAATAAACATGGGCGAGTCTTATCGTGTCTTTTGCAGATGTCTGACATTGATCGTACGGCTATTCATGAAGTGATGGAACAGGGCAGAGTGACAATAGCAAAGGCAGGAATACATGCATCACTGAATGCTAGGTGCAGTGTTCTCGCTGCAGCTAATCCAGTCTATGGCAGAGTACGATTAAATTTTGCATTTATTGATGACATGTACTCATTTTTATTGTGCATTTTCATCTGTAGTACTACTATCAATAGTGTTATCCATGAGATACCATAACCATTTCTAAAACCAAGGATTTAGTGAATTTCTATTGATATTAAAGGGAGAGTTTACTCTAGGTTCTAGGGTTATTTTCAGCTAATTTAGGTTATAATTACGCTACATAAAAAGTTTCATGGTTCAATCAACCATTAGAAATATTTTTTTTATGTTTTAAAACATAACGACTACAGTTTGATTACAAACGACGGTGGCGCCACTCAAGAGCGCAGCGATCCTGATAAGTTGTGCGCAAAAAGCCACTTTTCAGCCAAGACTACAGACGAGGGTGTGTCTTATTTATTTCATTTAAAAGGCAAAAGGATTGTTAAGATCTTATAAACGACATTATAGTTTCACGTTATAGAATATGGATAAATTTGCCCTAAATATGAATATCGCTCGGATAAATAGCATTTTAGGTACTAAATTATAATTGCACTTTTGTGATTAGCCCTCGGTCTGTAACGAGCAAAATAAATGGTCAAATACGCAACTTTTCCAGGGTGGCAGCACGGTCGCGGGTGTCATGGCGCCGTTCAAATTTCGTAGCGTTGATGTGTAATTAATTATAACAATTAAATTAGGTATCTCGTAACAAATACGTGTGGGTATAGATGATTTGTTATATACAGTAAGTACAGTTGTATGCAGTAAAATCCTAGGGACTACTGTCCCTTTAAACAAAATTTCATATAAACACGAGGGAGGCCTAATTGACATGAAGAAAGTACTGAAAACAGATATCACATTATGCATTATTCAAGTTTCATAACTAAGTACAGGTCATACTAATGTGATTCTGAAATTGCCATGTGTTGTCAATGGTTTGGTGTGAATTTGGTTGCTAATGCCCCCATATTATTCATATAAATGCTGTATTTAGTATTAGTAATGCATAATATATTCTCAGTTTCTTAATATGTGCTGTCAGTAAATATCTAGTCATATTCTATTATATTGACAGTATGACCAGTATAAAACTCCTATGGAAAACATTGGACTGCAGGATTCTCTTCTATCAAGATTTGACTGCTTGTTTATTATGCTGGACATGATGGACCCAGAGTCTGACAGGAAGATCTCAGACCATGTGTTGAGAATTCACCGCTACAGGGGTGCAAATGAACAAGACGGAGATGGTCAGTTACTTCTCATTGTCCTGTGTCACAAACGCTTACAATTTGCCTGTGTTTTACGAGAGATGTGTATGGCTATAAATATAATGACTATCATTGTTATAGTTTATTAAAGTTTATTACAGTTTATTTGACTAATACGATGATGTTGTGGTGTGGTTGATTGAAGCTCATTTTTGTGAGTGGTTAGGAACTTTTAAATCTTGTAACACTACAGCACACTTAAAAAATTTATCCTCTTTGAAAGGAAATCGTAGGAGACATACTAATAATACTACTGGCATTTGACAATTGTTTTCAACCTGTTAATGAAATTGTTCACATGAAAGTATGCAATTTATTCTAGCAAGTATTATACGTGATTCTTTGGAATTTAGGCTGCTATGTTGCTAGTTCATTTGCAGGGATCGAGTGTGATTCGTCTTCCCAAAGACCATGCCATTACTTGGATTTCCTCAATTGGCATTAACTAAACCCAAACTTCTAATAGAAAATATTATGATAGCAACTGTAGTTAATATACACTGTTGTTTTATACCATCTTGCCTACTGATGTGTTTTACTTCAGTGTCTGTGGCTTAGTTTTTGTTAAGAAGGTAGGGATTGTGATGATAGCATGCACACATTTATTTCTTCCGTTTGTAAACATGTTCATGACGATAGTAATAGCTAAATTCCAAAAAAGCTATCAGCATTGTTATACAGTGCTACATGATACCTGCTTGCAAGTACAGTTGCAGTGTAAATTTGTCGTGCAGTTCTGGAAATGGGAGGTGTAGCAGACCTGCTTACCACACAGGACCTGGATGCAGAGGGAGAGGAGGATGAGGATACACCGGTGTATGAGAAGTATGATGCCATGCTTCATGGCAAAAGCAGAAGTAGGCGGTAAGGATTTACCAAGGTTTACGGTGTAATCGTGTTCTGTAACTAGAACAGTTAGAATATATACATGTTTATTTATTTGTGGCAATCGCAATCGCAATACTGTTGCAGTGTAACTTGCATGGTTCGCACAGTCCTTGAAAAGTCCTTGAATTTGAGGGGAGTCCTTGAAAAGTACTTGAATTTAGTAAATGTTGATTTTGTGCTTGAAAAGTCCTTGAATTTCATGAAAATGTCCTTGAATTTAGTAAATGTTGATTTTGTGCTTGAAAAGTCCTTGAATTTCATGAAAATGTCCTTGAATTTTTAGAAAGAATCCTTGCCTGTAATAAAAAGGAATTTTGTACCATCAATAATGTACAAACCTCAATAAAAATTGCGTTAAATGAGCTTAAAAAGCTATAGACACGATAGACAGTTAAATGATGATCACAAATTACACTAAGTCAGTAAAATCAATCATTAATCAAGGTATGTTGTAGAAGGGACAGTGTTAGAAGGGTTTATTAATGTGATCCAGGTATGTTTTAGAGGTGACAGTGATTAAGAATGGGGTTATTAAATTAATCCAGGTATGTTTTGTTCTGTGTATGAATTCCGATAAAATGTCTGATAAAATGTCCTTGAATTTCCGATAAAATCCTTGAAAAGTCGTTGAAAATTTTTTCAGTTCTCCTGTATGAACCATGACTTGTGTATGGTGTTACATTGGTGTTAGACTGTGGCTGGTTACTACCTGCAATTTCTTACTGACGTATAAGATTTAACGAATAATGTGTTTTGCAACCTTGTTTGCAGTGTCGTATGTCTTCACAGGTTGTTTTGGGCAAAGTAATGTTTACTCGTGCCATTTTATTTAATGCAATTGTGTACTTCTATTTGCATATGCTACCTGTGATGCTGGAGTGCAAACTGGCAAAGGTAATGTTTCCTGGTTTTATATTTTTTAGTGATCGTATCGTCACTATGAAGTTTATGCGCAAATATATACACGTGGCAAAGACTATAAAGCCAGTGCTAAGTAACGAAGCATCTCACTGCATTGCTGAAGAGTATTCCAAGCTGAGATCTCAGGAAAACTCGCAGTCTGACATTGCACGGGTAAGCTAATTCCCTTGTTTGGCATCAGCGTTGTGATGCCACGAGATTGGAATAAATTTGGATACAATCAATATAACATATATCTTGTTATTTTTACTTAATGTTACTGTTCAGGGTTTCTTATACGTAAGAAGCACAGTGGCGCACTGCCGTTGTCAAATTTAACATCGCCGTTGTGAAAATGTTCCTTTATTTACTGATAAGTATATCCTGTATCTATATACCTATAAGTATATCAATACATCCTGTATTTGAATCCATCATGCGCATTTTTTCCCAAACTGGCCATTACCTCCTTTGTCTAATTTTCCCTCAGAAGAAACCCTGATGTTGCTCGTGAAAGGGTCTGCATAGTTTATCTGATTGACATGACCATTAATGTTACAACACTGGTGACCGTTCTGCATTTAAAAAAAAATATTTGTTCTGTGTACATATTCTTGTTTGATCTCACTAGACGTCACCAGTAACGGCTCGTAGTCTGGAGACTCTTATCCGTCTTGCAACAGCCCATGCCAAGGCACGTCTGTCAAAGGTTATAACTGAACAAGATGCAGAGGCAGCAATTGAGTTGGTGCAGTTTGCCTACTTTAAGAAGGTATGCCACTGTATTTGTTTCACATGTGTAGTGAATTAAGATGGTAAAAGGAAAGGTCTGTGAATATGGAAATAATCATTGTCTAGTTGCCAAAGCAAGTGTCATGCAATTGTTTTATTGTTAGCTGAATTGGGTAGCCAGCTTATTATAATAATAAGTGGTGCCATAATGGTATATATCTTGATAATTAATGCTTGTGTTCCTTTGATCACCCAAAACAACATTAGGCAACTTTTAGGATTGATATTTTTAATCAGCTAGAAGATATTTACACTTTATGCTAACATCGAACATTCACCCCCTGTGCAGCTGTCCATACCAGTATTGTATGAAACAGAGACAGCCAAATTACGGTGATTGATGGCAGTTTGCTCAAATTAATCGAAGCTCAATTATTTGATACAGCTAATTTGTTGCTCAGTTAATCGAAACATGGACATTTGTGTAGGTAATGGAAAAGGCGAAGAAGCGGAGTAGAAACGGTGACAGCGACTCTGAAGAAGAGGCGCCAAAGGAAGGCAAGAGAAGGTATGTTCTCTGTTTACAACGTGTGTGTGTATGTGTGTGTGCGTGCATGTGTGCGTGCATGTGTGCGCGCGCGTGCGTTTGTGTCTTTGTGTGCGTGTGAGTGCGTGCGTAGGTGGGTGCGCGCATTTGTGTCTCCATTTAAATATTACAATTTTTGTGTCATTGGGCTCATGTTTTACTACTGTTTCTCTGTTATTTTGCAAACCTCTTTTTATATTTTTACTAAATTTTATGTAACATTAAAACTTAGGAGAAAACATTCCCAGCCCAAATCCCCAGGCCCACACAAGGAGAGGCGTCCAAGAAAGCAACCAGGCGAGGAAGGATATGATCCTTATGACTTTGACAGCGACAGCAGTGGTGGTGATGATACACAGGGTAAATTGGAGTTTTTAATCATCCTTATCTTTTTACTAGAGTGTATAACATTTATAACGCAAGATATGTCATATTGTCGAGCAATGAGTTAGAATTATTTTAAAAAGTAGTTACTAGAGTAACAAAATTAATTGCTTATTTTATTCTTATCAGTGTATTTCAACAACTATATGTATTTTGGGTCTTTACCTGAACATGGGTGTAAAATGAAAGCATATGACTGCCATATTTTTTCCTACTGGCATATGTAGACCATTTTATGCAAATATAACATTCTCATTCATGTGAATATCCTAGGGTTGCAACAAATGACTGTGACTGGTACAACTGATGCCCAGTCAACGGCCGATGGCTCTGTTGCAATGGAAACAGAGGAATCTCAGCCGAAAGCAAAGGCACTCGACCAGAGCAGGTAATGGTCGTTTTTGTGCCACTGAGAACCAATTTTGTACTCCAACCACACATGCTCAGTACCTCAGCTATGTAGCCAAGTCAATTCTTTATGCTACCAAGCAGATGCCCTATATACTAATAACAGGGTGTTGGCTGTTTCCTTTTGTGAACTGTGTATTGTCAACTTTCACCTAAAATTTTTAATATACCTGGCAGACATGACTGTACTGTTGGATATACAAAACGTTAGAAGGCAGCTCTGTAAAGCTTTAATGAAATTTGTGAATGTGCCGCAATTTTCTAAATGTGAAATTGGCTTACTTACAGAATACAGCAGTGATGACATAATTTTTAGAATGTTTGACAGGCAGTAAAAAGTGGCTTAATTGCTGCCATCTTTTGCTTACAATAAGGCATATGCTACTGTTTTTGCCCGTAACTTGCCAGTTTACTGACTTCTGTCAACATAAAACACAAATTATATATATATATGATGATTCATTGGGCCAATGTGTATTTTACATATCTTTGATAGTATAAAATAGTCCCCTAATTTAAGTATCATGAAATTACATCTTGCATATCATCAAAAAACACTAGTCATTAGGTTATATTTCATCAGACAGAAATATTTTCTTACACGTTTTCAACGTCAAAGTGACAAGTGTCTTGACTGCAGCTCAAATGTGCCAAGCTACATATCAGACAGCGTTTTTTATGGTACATCGCTTTTTTCAGATTGAAGCAGTTCAAAGCATCGCTGCTGAAACTTTTCAGCACTGAACACGCTCAGTCCATGCCACTCCCACAAATCATTGCGCATCTAAATCAGGAGCATGCTGCACAGCAATTTACAACTGATGATGTTGATGCTGCCATAGAAGCGATGAGCGACGCAAATCAGATTATGCTAGCAGATGGCATCGTCTTCCTTATCTGATCGAGTGCCCCTTGCAATTAAAATCAGCGATGTATCGAGGTCAAAATCTAGTTGCTGTTTGCCCAATGCTGGTTTCAATTGCCAGTCGATTGGCTATGTATCAGGATGTGTTAAGATGGTGATGAAATGTGCATCATTCACTGAATATATTTGATTCTAAAATCATCTCTTTATAGGGTGTTAAATGATGAAACTGTATTCCATCGTAGTAGCCTTATTCATCTGGTGTTTTATGAGACAATGCTAGAAACAAGAACTCCCCTTCACTGCCCTATCATTAATTTAAACTGCTTTTATAGTAATCAGTTGGCATATTTTCCTCTATGATCGAGGCGAGTAAAAATTGGTCAGTTATCTAATTTCTAGTTTCAAATCAATGCTATTGCTCATAGGATGCATGATACTGTTAGAAAATAATTCACTAAGTCAATTAGTACACTACATTTCGTTAAGGTTGTTTATATCTGTATTATGTATGTATGCACGAATAGTATTATCATGTTAATCATGATTAATAGTTGATACATTGCTAAACCAGTAAGGGATGACAGCAGTACTGTTGTTTTATGATATAAACTGTTAGTTAGTTGTCTCACAGTATGTATTATCAGAATCTGATTGAGAACATCTTTCCTAAGAATAGAGAGTATGGTTTCCATTAACAGGACAAAATTATCATGTTTGTATTATAATTATTGTGATTGTGACTGTATTCCTAAAAAAACTGAAATGATGGGGATAAAATGCAGTATGTTTAGCTCATCTGACATAGTCAGATGCAGCTTGTAGAATCGCATGATCGTCCGTCCGTCCGTCCGTCCGTCCGAGCGTCCGTCCAAGCGTCCGTCCGAGCGTCCGTCCGTCAACAGTTGGGCACAAATCTTAACCGCTCGACGTACGGTCACGATATTCGGGACGTGGGGGGGTAATCCGAAAACGAGTTGGGATGTCGAAGCTGGGGGTCAAAGGTCAAAGGTCAAGAGGTGT